CCAAAGTTCCAAAACTGCAGACCCCATGACCTGACCATAGCCACTCTGGGGACATAGGTCTGTGCAGTTTTGGAACTTTGGAACTTTGCTACTTTGGTAGTCGAGATCCTTTAAAAGCAGTTGGGTTTTGGGGGGTGGCTAGCATATATATTTATGTATGTAATATATCCCATGCCATCCATCCACGACTTGGGGAATCCAAAGAAAAGGCTGCCGGCGACAAGCATCTGAGTCATCTGAAGCATCACTGCATGCTCTCAAGGACTGCTTCACAAATGCCCTTGAAGTCCACACCGAGCGCCAACTGATCGTTCGCCTTCTCGAGGTAGTAGTCAGGAAATGGATCCTCAGCAAGGGCCAAAGGAAGAACAATCACCTCCCAGGAACTGAACATAGCTGGACGTCCAATTGGCTACAGGGGGAAGACTTTCACCCCATAGGAGCCTTCTTGGCCGATGCCACCTCTGAGTACAAATGAACAAAGCTAAACTATTTCAAAGCGTTCAAAGTGTATTGTTAGTGAAGCAAATGAGGATCTTGATAGGAGTTAGCTCCACCATTCCACATGCCACAACACCGGTCTGTAGTTTGGTCAATGTTGCAAGGTGAATAGCTTGTGGCATAGCTCTTGTGGCAAAAGGTGCCCACATAGTTGCTGTAGGTCGTCCCTGCCACACTGTTGGGATCTGGGCAGGAGTAGTTGTTCACATAGTCCGGCGCTCCCATACAAGTTGCAAAGCTATCCCCCTCAAGAAATACCACTTCCTCCTTGGATTCATCATACCAGGGGGCCCCCGTGACGAATCCGGCACCAAAGCCAGAGATGCAAAGGTTCATGATGTTGCCATCCTTGGCAATCTGTGGGTTAATGATATTGCCCGTCCCTGTGTTTGATGACCTCAAGAAGTCCAACTGGAACACACCCGAGGGTCCTGTGGCGGAAGCATTGCAGCCTGAACCCATGATAGGACTACATTCCCCGGAGGCAATGACCAAAGCTGCGACACATTGGGTCAGGTTGTCTGGTCCAGTGTTCGGCTCGTAGAACTTGTTGGCGCCATAGGTCATGAAGGCTTCTGCAATCTGCGAGAAGGTCCACAAGTACCCCTCCCCATACTGCCATTTCTCATCTGAGCAGCTCAGGGTTTCGTTGTCAAAGATCACCTCCGTGGTGTTCATCTTCGGTGTCGGGTTTCCACCGGACCCGAGCCCGGGGATCACGATGCTGCTATCAAGCCGGCGCTCTTTGGGCCGCCTGGGTATCACCTGAAGGGAAGACAGTGCGTCGCCGTCGCTCACCGGGCAGTCACCCAGCACAGTGCTCAGGAGGGCAAACAAAAGAAGGAACATGGCGCACAGTCAAGAAGGTCGAAGAAGGTCGCTACCGTGCCAGTCCTGCCCTTGGGCCACAAGATGCGAACATTGCGGCGCGTTTTGTGTTGATGAATGGACATCTCAATAAATTTCATGTGGAGACGAGAGGAAGTTAGTGCGCCTTCACATCGAAAGCAACATGTTCTTTTTCCGTCATGGTGCCTCACAGCTGTTCTTCATCTTTGTTTCACCAACATCAGCCCACGAGCCTTGCAGATTACAGCTCCAGGGTTCCACCCGACCAAGATGTGCCCCCACCGCTGGTGCGTCCCCAGACATGGCCTCACGGTCCAAATCCTTGAGCAGCTGGAGAAGCTCCAGGCATCTTCCGAAGTGCCAGCAACTGCCGCTGGCCGAACACAAGGCCACCGCGTCCGGCCTGGAGGTAGGCGGAGAAATCAACCCGGAGCTGGCTGGCTGGCTGGCGTACATAGGTTTAGAACATTAGGTCGAGATCCATATTCAATGGTCCATGAACCTCAGCAGCAACGGTAGGTCATGACTGAGTAGACCCAATAAGCCGGATAGGTATGCAAAAGGTGGCTCGAACTCCAATGGTCAGGTTGCCCACCTCAAGTGCGAGGCTTGCATTTGCTCTAGGAGGGCCTCAAGTGCGACGCGCAGCACTTGCGCAACACATCTGCGGCTTTCACGGCCAGCAGACTGGGTGAGAGTCGGTGAGAGTTGGTGAGAGTCGGTGAGAGAGGTGGGGGGAACAGCAAGCATCCCTCTGGCAAACATCAGCTTGGGTGGTACCCAGTTGTTGAGCCATTGCCACATCGCAGTGGCGCACATCGCAGTCCATCTTTGCGACCCCAAGTCTTCTAGGATCCGCTAGACTGTCTTGTAGCTATCAACACATGTATATAATATTGTACTTACGCAAAGTACGTGTGGGAGCTGATTTTTCTGTATGAGAATGTCATGTTTGGCTAAGGCACCAGGGACACTTGCCAGCTTCCCATGTCAACTGCAAGGATAGCACCAAAGGCGATGGCATCGGCCTGCAGGTGGAATTGGCCAGTCTTCAGGACTGTCCGTGCCAGCAATTCAGCGAGCTTTGCGTTGCCACATGTTATGTTGGTGACATAATTATCTATTTGTCTTGTCCTGTTGAAACCAGGAAATCTCAAATCATAAAATCATTCAAGTAAATTACATTTCAATCGACATGTGTGTGTGTGTGTGTGCACCAGGGTCCTTTTTGTATGTTTTAGCCTGATGAGATCGGAGATGATAGGAGGAGTGGCATTCATGATGTTAACTTCAACAAGCCCCCCCCATTTGAAGAGGATGTCCAGTTCAAATGCAAGGGTTTCCTAGGGTTTACTATCTACAGTACATCTATCTACAGTACATTATACAGGTTGAAGATCACCAAGTCTTATGAAAACCACCCACCCCGACTGTATATCTCCAAGCTCGTTTCTCCGGGGCGCCATGTTCTCCCCTCCATGGCGGGTCGACCCAGTCTCCGACGGATAATAAACACGGAGAATAGCGAAGGAGCTCGACTGGGTATGATGACTAGCTAGCCTAGCTTCATGCAGTCGAAGGTGTGAAGGTAGGTGTGAAGGTGTGAAGGCTGGGTTTCGAAGGTCGAAGGTAGTGAATGACCCAAAGACTGTCCCAGGTGTGAAGGTCCAGGTGTGAAGGTAACCTGCCTCCATGTCTCTTCTCCTCCTCGAGCCCTTCATTCGTGTGCTGCAAAGCGCAGGGAGACTGTTCGATGGAAAGGCATCTTCAGTCACATTTCCGGCCCTTTCCCTGACACATCTTCGTTGCCGAAAGGCCATGACTCGATCAACCGGATCGAGGCATGTGGAACCCCTGCCTGGCAGCTGCCCTGAAGCTGGCTCCAAAGCGCTAAGCTCTCTCGCCACCTCGCGCCATGAAGGCCGACAATGGCTGTGACATGCCGTGACTGAAGGGTTGAATTTGGTCAGATCCAGGCCTGTGAATTGAAGACGCTGCACGAAGTTTCCGTGATTGAATTGCTTTGCAACCACAAATGATAATGTGTTCTCGTTTTGAATTAAAACACTGAACTCAAGCACACTGGAACATTCCACACATGATCCAAATACTAGGACTCGCTTTCAACCTGAACATCCGAAACAGGACTGACTACAAGTTGCTAGGGGTATCAGCCACCACGTGCAAGTAGCATCAAAATGGATCAAGTAGGATACTCTTCTTGTTTTCGGTGGCCAGTTCCCGAGTTCCCATCTCACGACTCCTGGGTTCCACGGCGGCTCTGACCGCCTCTGACGGCCCAGGGCTCTTAGGGCGCAGCTGAAGGTTTCCAGTTCCGCATCGCGGCTCTCTCGCGACCGCAGCTGCTGCACCCGGCGCAGCAGCTCGAAGACTTGCGCCTCGGAAGTTGGAGGCTTCTGAGGCCCAAGGCTGGAAAAGAGAAGAAAACGGCAAAGCAAATCAAAGCAGCAATATTGTTGAGGACTTTCAGTCTTTAGTCTACGCTGGCCTTCTTTGCTACCTCAAGTCAAAGTCTCTCTGTTTTTGAGTCGTCAGCTTGGGACAAAGAGTCAAAATAGCTACAGGGGAGGGAGGATTTAGGCATTTCCCGGCTTAAGGACGCCCAAAGGCGGGAATCCCACCGAACCTAGCTGCTAAGTACCTCTTTCGCGTGAAGCTACAAAGATACCAAGATTGGAACATGAACATGAGAACCACCCCGCACAAGCAACTGCACATGCTGTCACATGCTGGGATATATGAACTGAACTTGGGGTGCCACGTTCAGTTGATTGAAAGCACAAATCTTGTGCCGTCGGTCTTCTTGCCAACCAAGTAGCCCAAGCCCCCCCTGGCTGCTGTGCCAATGCATTCAACACGGCGTTGTAGACTGAGCACAGGGATAGTCAACCCCGAGACGTGCTTGAAATCTGCCCCATGCAGGTTCTCTCCTCATGACTCCCAAGCAGCTGGATGTGCTGGAGCAAAACATTTGCACACAAAGACACCCCCATCAAAAGAACTGGACAGGATCTTTGAGCTGATGATGTCCTTTCCCAGTTGCCACAGGGCGAGAATGACCCATGTATGGGGAGATGGGAGATTCGAACCCCCACGCGAAACCAGCTGAAACCACATGAAACAACCCCAAACGCTCCATGATCAATGTATGGAATATATGGCTACATTGGGGTGGTTTGGGGGGGCCAACGTAGGCACATATGGCAGTCCCATGGAGTGTATGGGAACATGACTGCAGCTCCGATCTCACCGAGCACGTGACAGCGGCGGGCGCCCTCTCGTCTTCGGCGGGGGCCCTCTTTCGGGCCCAGTGTGGGTCCCGAAAGCAGGTGACTGGAACGGAATCTCGAGCGAAACTTCCCTTTTGCTTCTTGTTCCTAGCGATGCCCTTTGTTGCCGCTTAGCTTCTTGTTCCTAGTAGTAATGCCAGGAGCTACGTTCGTAGCGATGCTCTTTGTTACTAGTAGCTTCTTGTTCATTAAGCAGTCAGGACAGTGCCCAAACAATTCCCCGCTTCACATTGCTTCGCCTAGCAGAGACCCCTAAACAAACAGCCCATGCTGTAAGAACCTAAGATGTATAAAGAACAAAAAACACATGGACTTCACTTGACTTCACCCTTCTGCTCATTCAGCTACTTGACCCGGATCCAAAGGGGACCTATCCTCTCTTAGGACCGCACAACGACGCGAGGACCGGTCCCGTGTTGAGCTTCCGATCCTTTGGACTGAGGGTTCCGGGGGCGTTCGGGTCGTCACCTTCCTCCGAGTTCTGCTTCCGATGGTTGGGGGTACTTCGTTCATCATCCAAGACATCGTCCATCCCATCCTAAGACATCATCACTTGGAGATGCTTGCTTCGTCCAATTCACTTATAGCTTCGTCCGATCTTGAGAAACCCCTGTTCTTCCACCGCGAGATCTCGCCACCGGCACGAACCGCGGGAGCCACCGCACAACGCACGAACCGTGCCCGGCCCGAGGGTCCAATCACATTGGGTGGCAGCTGTTCCCGTTGCATCTGAGACAACAACCACATGGCGCGTGTCCACCTGGGCGCCGCCAGGAAGCCGTCCAGGAAGCGGGGCGTGTTGGGTAGCGTGAGGGTTCTTGTGCAAGTGTTGTCTTCCTTCATGGTCAACATGATTCATATGAACAGACATACAGAAGGAACCGTCTGCCAAGCGGTGGCTTTGCGTTTGGTTTGCCCAAACCGGTCGGACGGGAATTCGTTGAGCGTACCCAATGGCCTGGCCATACCTGGCATGCCAAGGCACTGCCCTCCTTTGCCACATGCACTAATGCACGCGCTGAATGCAATGAGATCTGCTCGCAGCATGCCCTGGCGCAAGGGAAAAATCGGAGTCAATGTCGGTCTTAAAAAACCAGCGATTCCCTACTTCTATCATGATTCCAATAAATTCCAAACAGCGATCGCGCAACAGAAAGAGCCCTCTGCTCCAGAAGCCGCGGACAAGCAAAAGTTCTTTCTCGGTAAGTAGCTACGGACCAGCTACGGGGAACTCCCGTGGTCGCTCCCTGTTGCTTGGAAAAGAACTGGATACCCGAGCCGGTAGCACCCGAGCCGCCGCATCCCTGAGCAAAACCTAGTGCGCCCCGTGCGCCTCAGTGCGGGGTAGCGGTGCAAATACGAAGAACAAGACCCAGTGACTTACGATGCCATACCATGCTGCGTCCACTTGCCCCTTGGTGCTTTTGCTGGACCAAGCTCCTGAACTTCCAACATGAAAAAGTCTATTTGTTATCTTGGCACTCCTACTACCTACACTCCCTGGAGCTAACATGGAAGTGGATGGCATGGCCCCTTGGAAGACCATCCTCCTCTACAAACAAAGCGTGAACTCAACTTCCATGTTAGCTCATGTGAGTTCCACGGAGTCGGAGTGGCCTATATGTATATATATATATACAGTATGTGGCTTCCAATTCGGGGCCAAACATGGTGATTGGCAACCGTTCCATATGTGAAGGGCGGCACCTGACGCATCTCTTCTAGGATCGCCAGTGCAGCTCGCCACTCCCCACCTGGTGGCTGTCTGAGAACGGTCTGTCGGTATCCATGAATGAGACATGACGAGGCTAGTCGAAACCCAAAAGAGACTGGTCATGACCTCTCTCTGGGCATTCGGGTGGGATTTGGTTTTGCTTTATGCTTTTCAAGACAAGTTTCCGCTAGACAGGAACCATTTTTACTGTCGTGGAGCGCAAAGGGTTGCACATACACCCACAGGGTCATCCAAAAGATCGTTAATCACTTTTTCTGCTGCACAAGGTGGTTGCCACTTCTCAGGGAGCAACGAAAAAGCTGCCCCAATTCTCTCCATCTCGAAGGGCGGGCTTACTAACCGTCCAAGGTTTTAGCTCTGATCAAAAAGACCATGTCAAAACACATCTTTTGGGCCGCTACACATGTGTTTTGATTTATAGTGCGTACGTCATCGTCCGTACGGTTTACCTACCACGAACGGCCAGGACGGCCCCGACGGCCGGTGCCTTTCTCACATGCGCTGATGGCCGAACTGCAGCTGACCACATTAGGCAGCAGCTTTTGACCTTGCGGCGACATAGAGGGAACAAGGATGGAATTGGTTGATGTTCTCAGCCTATTCTTGGGTTTGTTTTGAAGTAGTAGCTTGCATGTGGTAAGTGATGGCTGATTCCTTCTGGCTATCTCCTGTCTTGACCAAAGGAGTCAAGGATCAACTTGCCACAACCCAAGATGAACGGTCCAAGGCCCGGGCCTTTCATGGTGGTCAAAAGGTCAAGGGCCACTTCCCATCGCCTCAGGGAGATGAAATCAACATAATCAACCAATATCTCTCTCTTTTTTTTTCTCTCTCTCTCTCTCTCTTCTATCTCCCCTAGCTGCCGGAGTGAAAGGAAACTCCCAGTTGGGCGCTCCAAGTTGCGCCTCCCTGAAGAACATGGGGATCCCAGCGCTGCTTAGCTCCTTCCTGAGCACCACCTAGTCTCTCTCTCTCTCTGTCTCTCTGTGCCCATGGTTGTTGCCATTTGCTTAGCTCAGGATGAGCCAAACTCTAATCTTCTTGCACACTAAGCCATGTTCCATTTCCTTCAGGGGCCGTCAGGCGAGCAGCTGATGCAACCTGCGCCCATAGCTGAACACTGGCGATTGAAACGAGGTGATTCACTCCCTCTGTTGACGAGGTTGTCAAAAGGCTGAGCTGCCTGTTAACGATACAGTAAGTAGCGAAGTCCGTGCATTGTTGAAGGTGACTTTTAAGCTTGACATTGGTTCCAATGTCACGTTGCTGTTGATGAAACATTTGCGGACAGTCAGTGTTCCCAACCATACTGTATCTCTCTTTCTTTTCCAACCACTCCACCTACAAAAGGTTCGTTGTTTCGCAGTCAATATGGAATTACAATATGAATTACTTAAAAGGAGATGGGTCAACACATTCGGGGCCCTCGTCCAGGTAGCGAAACGACCTTCCAGGTGGGGGGCTGGACGCCAAAACCATGCCAAAGCGGAGTGCTGGGCTTTGTGCCTTCACCGTGGCCCGTGATCCGTCCCGTCGGTCCCGTTGGTGCGGGGCGACCAAGCACCTGCCCATACAGTGTGGACTAGGTGTCTCCAAAAATAATATATGAATGGATTGCACAGTTGAGGTGTGGTGGTTGATCTCTCCTTCATGCCTCCTTCATTCCAATACCTCGACGGCTACCCATCCCTTCAATCCCAGTGGCCCTGCTCTCTCACACTGTGCGATCACCGCGCCCTGTAGCACCACATTTGGCTGCAGGGCCGCCAGCGGCAGCAGCTGCAGCAAGCGCACCGCTCGGGGCCAAGGGAGCTCCTTGGCCACAAGGCCCAAGCTGGCTAGGTCCAAGGGTGGGCCCAGCTGAAGCCTTGGAGGGCGAGCAGTGTCAGAGTTGCTGGAGAGAGGAGATCTATTTTCGGGTGCTAGACTCACATGCTAGACATTGGACCAAAAACACACGTGTTTTTTTCATGTGAGCAGTTGGCAACATCCATATTCGTTTGCAGGCCATCAACGAGGCCGGCCTCACTATCGGCTACCATGCCACGTAAGTAAAGTATGGGTCCGCCCATAATTCAACATCTTGTGTGCGGCTCTGTTTTTGTTGTCCGGTACTCACGTAAGGTGGAAGTAGGTCAGGTTGTCAGGCAGGTGAGTGGTGAATCCTATTCAAGGCACAATCCTTCAAGTTGAGCCGTGTTTCATGTTTTCTTGGTTTCGGGGGGCAGGTGCATCAACTTCTGCTTGACCCATGTGTGTTGTTCTTTCTATAGAGTGAACTCCTCCCTGGCCTTTCAGGTCCTCTGCTGTGCCAGCGGCTGGACGGAATCCCCAATCATGTGGATAAATATCAACACCTAGACTATTAAGTACAAATATACAGTATATAAATGTATTACAGCATAATAAAATACAGTAACACCGAATACCCGTTAAGGGATTGCTTAGTGGGTACTGGTGAGGGTAGTGACTTGATGGCAGTCCTTGTCCAACGATTGAGCAAATGCAGCGAGCTTGCAAAACGTTCAAAAAACGGTGCGAAAGGAACATACACAACGCTCTCCCCGAAGTAAACGTACCACAACCGTTGTGCAAGTCGCATCCGCATCACGCCTGTGATATCAAGCTGCATCTCGCTCAAGACAAACAAGGGCAAGTCCCAGCGATTTGTGGATGAACAAGCTTGCCTCAGTGGCAGCTAGAAAGGCCTCCAAACCATCAACTCCTCTTATATTCTCATCTCATTCTCGACTCAATCAAGAAGAACATCCAACCTAGGCATTTTCCAGCCCAAAGGTCTTTCAGCAGCCCACTGTCCTATAAATGTTTGTTCAGGGGATGTTCATCGTTTTGCCTGCGCCGAGGAAAGCAGCGACCCCCTCAATCCAAAAAAGGCAGCAGAAACATGCAAATCTACTTTGATCACCCTGCATAGTTGTTCCCTTTCGCGCAAAACCTTTGTTGCTTCGAGCCAGCCCGATCTCAGCTCGACAAAGTCACAACGAAGACTGTAACTCTGAAGATGTCGCGAAAGTCCTCTCCACTGGCGGTTCTCTCTTTTCGAAGTCTCCGATGGTTTCTCCCAGTTGCAGGAGGTTGTTGCAAAAGAACGTGTCCACTTCGAGGCCCTCGTCCCTCAAGCATCGGCCAAACTGGAACGCCTACGCGCCGGACCGATTGGCGGGACGCCGAACGACGCGGCCGGTGGGAATGCTTGGGGAACGACGCGAACCGACGTGAAACGGGCAAGATCTGAAACGGACTGAATGCGATGAGCACAGCGGTTTCCAAGATCCAAGAATCCGCACTTCCGGACTTGATTTTGCATATTGCATCACACCCCAAGCAGTTCCCTGTCGTTGCAGGTGCCCCAGCAAACGAACTAGCCTATCCATGGAGGTGCTGAGGACGCGGGAAAGCGGGGGGCAGGGTGGGGCAAAATGGCAAAAAAACATGATTGGTCAATGGCCACATGCAAATCACGGTTTGCATCTGTGCACGTTCATAAAACACGTTTCCATCACCAAAACTTACAGGTGTTCATCTCACCTGCGTGTGTACACGCATTTCTGTCATGTTGGAATTGCCATTTCTTACAAGCACGGTATGTCGCGAATTCTCGTGTGTCGGGGTGCAGAAAACGCACCTCGGCCACGCGTCTAGCAGCAGCAGAAGCAGAGCAAAGCAGGAGTAGCAGCACTAGCAGCAATATAGCAGCAGGAGCAATAGTAGATTGTCGCAGCAGCAGCAGCAGCAGCAGCAGCAGTAGTAGTAGCCGGCGTCGTCGTCGTAGTAGTAATCGAAGTACTAGCTGTAGTAGTAGTAGTAGTAGTAGTAGTAGTAGTAGCAGCAGCAGCAGCAGCAGTAGCAGTAGCAGCAGTTGTGGCGGTGGTGGCGGTGATGATGGTGGTGGTGGTGGTGGTGTGTGATAGCATGTTTATCTTCTTGTTGTAAACATCACACGCATCCACAGCAAACCCCATGGACAATCCAGGGCGCAAACGGGCGCGTGCGGAACCGCCCCTCCTCATCCCCCTACCATCCCCATCTCGCCCAGAAAAGAATCAAACACCTTAAGGAAAACATCCGCCAAGCCCACTCAGTCCTGTAGAATCGTATGAATATGTGTAGGTTGGCAGCGGTTGAATGATCCCCCGTGGCATTACCGGTGAATGTCGAGAATCAACTTCTATGTATAGTGATAAAACGAACAACCAGCCTCAAAGGGCAGAATGCCCCCCTTGGGTTGGATGGCGGATTTGGGATTCATCCTCCGCAGATCGTCTGGCTCCATCAGCTTCCCCAAAATGCTTAACCTTTTATCCATCTGTTCATATTTAGACTATTGAGTGGGGAAACCAATCCCAACAAACATTCAGGGTTATATATATATATATATATCCCAAACACTCCATGGGACTGCCATATATGCTGATCAATTGACCCCCCAAACCACCCCAATTGATCGGCAAATATGGCAGTCCCATGGAGTGTCTGGGTATATTATCCTGGGTAGGCCGTCGTTTTGGTGTTCGGCGTCTCGGACTTCCCTCGCCTCGGACACCGCCTGGGCGCGGCCCATGGCAGCCACCACCGCCGTGCCGAAGGCCAGGCTGGGAGCTGTGCGGCGGTCTGCCCAGGTCGTAAGGAAACGCTGCAACTCGGCCTGCCATCCTCCCGGATCCGGCGGCGGTGGTGGGTGGGTGGGTGAGAGGATGGCAGCTGGAGTTGGAACTTGGATCTTTTTAAGATAGGCTGGGATTGGAAGATGTTTCGATTCCAATGGCCCTTTCACCACTCCGCCAAAGAGCCGAGCCCCGATGCGGATGGCTCCTTCAAAAAAAGGACGTCTCTGGGGGCGGCTGGCGTTGGTTGGAAGAATCTGAAGTCAAATCAGGAGTCCGCGGCCGAAAATGCCCTGGGGCTCCAACCATATCCTCAGAAGGTGGTTAGAGCGTTTCAAACCCACCATAACCATCTTCTCAGGAGGTAGGCCAGAAGCCCTAGGGATGGATGAAGGGCCTGAGTGAATTTGAACAAGATCAAGTTTTCTTCGAAGGAATCCGGAGGAGTCTATCTTTCTTAGAGGAATTGACCCGTGAATAAGTCTGTCCTTCGGCTTTTGAAGGGCAGTTGAGAACTCACCAGACACGTCGGAAGACAAGGTGCTTTACCTGCAATGTAACCCTATCTCCAGATCATCTGATTCCAGGGCCAAATGCGCTTAAAAAGACATGACCACGCTTCCCAGGGTTGCCCCCCTGCCTCGCCGAATTCTCTTACGTTACCGTACACTATCCAACGTCCTGGGCCCGGATTAGGTCGGTGTCCCCGGCAAAGGCACCAGGTCCCGACACTCATCTCCAAAGCCGCTGCGGCTCCACAGTACCATCATCTTCGAATGTAATTGGCCCTCTCTGGTTCTGAAAACGGCTTGTTCACTTCTTCATTGCGCACAATCCTGACCCCAATAGATCTGCCAAAGGGTTGGAGACACCCTTCGAATACCACCAACACGTGAATCCCCACCTGGCCGTTTGCTTAGGGCGGCCATCAAACAGCACAGCAGCACAAAGTCCACACTGCCAAAGCTGCTGTGCTGCCGGGATGAGCTCAAACCCCTTCCCCCTTCGGAAAGACAAAATGAACATCTAACATAATCTAACATCTTCGTAACTAACAACCAATCTATGTGATCATGACATGTTAAAGGTGCCTGACAAGCTCCTGACAGGCCGAAGTGGATCTGGACGAGTTGAGGCCACCAACCACCTCCAACCAACCTACTTGGGCCTGAGCCAGCTGCGCCGAGGGCTCAACCATGTCGGGGTCACAAACCTCTTGCCAAAAAAGCAGGGCTTGAGGACCACATCGTATCACATCTCTCACTTCCCTGTCCATGCCGCATGCCACCCGCACCAAAGCATATGCTTGGTCTACTCACCTGTCATTGTCTCGGTCACCCTGTCCCGGGGACATCGCTTATTTTGCAAAAGAAATAGCAACTGACTGATCCCTCAAAAAAGGCAACCAATCTGGGGACTGATCAACAATGATCAACACCAGAAGCCCTGGTCCACCACGTAGCCAACGACCTTGCAGGTAATTAGGTGAACCAAGGTAAAAAGCCTGGTTGACCCATAGCCATCGGTCGACCCACATCTCATCGAGAAATGCCTTCCCACCAGCCACACCGTCCGTCAAGTGGGTTACGCGGCTTCTTTTTCAGCTTGGCCGGGCCACATGTCTCACCTGCGAAGGACACCTACATGCTGCTCCGCTTGTCTCGACTTTACAGGGCTACTCGACTGAATCCCTAGTCTCAAGCTCAGCATCATTCTGCCCTGAGCGAAATGTGCTCAGGAGTGTGCTCAGGTCCATGCGGTCTGCGTATGGGGTGCGTTTGTGGTGGTGGTGAGCTGAATGGCTCATGAAAAAAATAGCGGATCCATGCGGATCCTGGAATCCACAGCGTTCTACCAAAACAGGTGAGCCCATGGTGTGACCTGAGTAGCCTTGCATGCATTTCCCTCTTGCACCCTTCATATCCTTATCCCAAAGATCGTGCCAGTTCATGCACTGGAATGGAGACAAGCGTCAGCAATCTCCGAATGGAGCGTAGCAGTGTGGACACAAAACCACCAGCTCTCATACCATGTATGACATTGTACACGTTACATGACGCTAAACAGCACTTGTTTGATGCTTGGAGTTGAAACCATCTCAACTTTTCCCTGCCAACACACACGAGGCAAGCCAAGTTCCAACTCATGAAGGCAAATCATTTACTTATACTACAAGTACATCAAGGATCAACAATGCAGGGAGCTTGTTGCCCCTACCTCTTCAAGTGCGGAAGCGGTCATTGTTGATGTTCCTTGAATCTAGCATCAGTTAGGTGACTATGCTCAACCACTCCGTGTAAGGCCCATTCACCTCCATTGGGGGTTGTTTCAAAGGTCTATTGCAAGCACATATTCCATACATGGGCTTGGCTTGATTCAACCAACATGCACTGCCAGAAACACCAACCTTCTGATCCTTCTCTGGGGAGAAACACATCCACATTGTCACATTCAACAACCTCCACTTCTGATCTTCATTCAACCTTCTCATCTTGTTCATCCACCTCAGCAGTTCTTCTTCCGCTTGTGTTGTCTCCACGACTGGTTCTTGCCGCATTGGGCGTTCAACATGGTGCTCGAAACCGGCGGGCAGGACGACGAGACGACGGTCGGCGTGTTCGTTGTGCCGAAACAAAGGGGTAGCGGGTGATGGGGATTGACGTGCGCAAAGCAAAGGGATCGACGTTGATGGTCTTTTGGGGGGGCACAGACGCGTGTCAGAGGGACATGCCTTCCGGGTCTCACGGTTCTAGTATGTTCTGGTCAAGTAGTTTGGCCAAACGTGACGCCAAGATGACCCAAGCGATTTTATAATCCTGGCAAGTGATGAAAGGTAAGCCAACAAAGCACTCGTAAATACAGAATCTCATGACAAGATCCGAAGCTACGAAAGACCTTAACACCGCAACTGCTGCACTACTCTTGCACTTGCGGAAACAACTTCAGAATAACCAAAACATGCTGTGAGTGAGGGTCATGTGCCCAAGAACGAACCTCTGTAATTACACAGGTCAAGCTTCTCAAGAATCCATCTGTAAGTGCCATGGTAAACAATTAAGTTCACTTTGAGGGAGAGTAACTAGGAAGATCATAGAAGATTAACACCGGGTACCCAATGCATGGAAATCGTGTTGAGGAAACGCCTGTCTCTGGGTCAAGACTTGAGAACAGCACCAAATGAGGCTTTCAAGATGGACAAACGTGCGAGATAGATACTGTAATACTAACTGTCGGGGTTGGAGTGGCCTCCCATCGTCGTTCCGAACGGCTCCCAGTTGAATGGGGCAAGACCAAAAAAAAGACGATCGTCGTCGACCCTATCGCCGTCGCTCCCTCCGAATCGCACCTGCCAAAGAAGAAAGGTCCGTCCTTTTTGGGGGGGGGTGATTCTGTGGTTATAGAACACACCATTCGACTGTGGCAGGATCACTCAAACAGTTCCGGTCACCGTGATCAGCTGCACCCTCCCAGCGGAACTGATGTGGAGATGCCAACGAGGGCTCGAAGATGTTATAGCATTTTTCAGCAGGCTGAAATATCATAAGTAGGACCAAGGACAAGGACATGTCTTCATGCAACGCTGCTCATGCAATACTGTCCCTCCAAGCCCCGGGGATTTAGCACATCGGCTACAGATTCTGAGCCCAGCCTTCCAGTCTTTCACATCTATACCCTGGGAGGGCATCTTCAGCGGCTAGACGGCGTTTCGCCATCGTCTTCGCCGCGCAAGCGCAACTTGTGTGCGGAGGTTGATGCAGTGTCCCTCCCTGGCACCCATCAAGCCACAAATAATGCACAAACGGTCCATGCATGGGGTATTTACATAAGTTACATGCATGAATGATTTATATACATTTCATGGATTACTATATATATATATATATAGATACACTATACCTTTAATGGAATCACTGGATCAATATAGTTTAGTCCGCCAAGGGGCCTCCAATAGTATATAATCGCCTTTGGCATCCTTTGGCCAACACATTGCAAACAATTGTGCACTAACCCAGCCCAATTAGTTTGGTCCACAGTTCTTGGTACAAGTTTGTTTCAATATGTTTCAATACTAAGTACCTTACACCCTCCACTTCCCAAACACATTTGTATGGTCGGAACAATCCCCCATTCTATGGTACCTCAGACCTTGTTGACCTTCCATATGGGGGGCTCATAACTCCAATTTAACCAAGCTCCAATAGCAATCCTTTTGCTGCTGCTGGCTCATGGTTGGCTCACACCTTTGGCTACAACTGATAATTCCACTCCATGGTTCTGAGTGGCCCCATCATGTTTGTTGCTCTACTACTGAGAGCACCAAACCCACCAGAACCCCAAAACCACGCCCTACCCAGAAAATTACGTTTTCAAGCTCCCAAACGGGGTCCCAGGGGGTCCCCCATAATCCCTCTATTCATAACTCCCCCACATTAGTTTAGTATCTCCCCGTCCTTGGGTGAATATCTCACATGATTACCTGATCAATGGCCAAATGCATTACTTACTTATCATTCCTATCATTCCTATCACCTCCCCCTCCTTGAATCCAACCCATCCTTCTTCATGAAGAGATTTAGTCTTGGTGACCTCTTCTGAGTGCCCCCCCCCCAGTTAAAGTCGAATTGCACTTTTCTTGTTTCTGTAATCCGGTGATTCCATTAATTACCCCAATTATGATGCCAGCTGCTAGTCAGTCGTGGTTTTGGGCAACTTCCCAGGGGGATGGACCATGTTTTGATGTCTTGGAAGTCTATCCGGTGAAGGTTGCAAGACCGTAAGAGAGGCTTCGCTTGCCAAGGGACACTGGACGCGCTGCGGATTCAACACGTTGGTCAAAGCGAAGATTGGCAGCTAGCCGCGTCATGGAGATAGTCCAGTCCATAACTTCATATATCTTCCTGGCCACTGACACCCTGGGTCGCCGCTGACACCAGGATCTCATGTTTGTCACCTCAAACTATCTTGAACATCTTGAACCCCCATTCTAACTGCCTAGGCCTAGGCCTTTCAAATGCTCTCCTGTCGTTCGTCCGTTCATCATCTGGATGACCGTCGGATTGGGCATCGAACATGACACTGCTGTCTTGGACGCTGCTGTCTGCATGGGGACGATGCGTCCACATCGGAGAAAGGGAATTTGCTGACTTGGACGCTGAAAGAAGGGGTCCAACAGATTCTCAACAAGCCAACGAAGCGTGGTCTGATCACCTTAACACAGGTGGCAGGTCATGCTGGGATGCAAGCACACTTCCTTGGCCATGGTCATGGTCCATGTGTGCTTTTGAGTGCATGTGGCTAACAAATATACATAGCAGTATAGCAGTCTAAAACTGCTGGGGTCACCACAAAAAGCACCTCATCGTATCATAAGTGGCACATGTCGCAACCACTCCCTGATATAGACCTACATCCTACTACAATCTAAATGTATCTAAGTGTGGGTACTTATATAGATGTATATAGCTTTGCAGGGCCATCAAGGCTCCAAAATAGTTTCAGGTGCTGTTGCCGGATGCTTTTGCCCACTTACCCTTTATGACACGCTCAGGCTCCAACTATGTAAGCCTCTTTCAGCATGGACATGTCGGGTGCTTCTAGAGACGTCAGCATGCAAATTCCAGATTTTGCACTTGCCCTATTTTCAGGCAGTGCACCTTCGCATGGCATTTAGCGTGGGAGAGTCCTCAACCAATCACTGGCATTCTGTCGATTCTGTAAGTGTCAGGTTGAGTGTCATACGAGCTACCACCAATACAAGCATGCTAATTTTGAACCTCTGCCTCTACCTTGTAGAGCTCTTCCATCTGCTCTGCTGTTTTCTCTGTTCCACCCGCGTTTGGGTCTGGACCTCCTCGATCCTCCATCCGTCAGGGCCAAATCTTCACGGTGCCCAAGCCCAAGGCACCAGACCTGACACCCATCAGGTTCGAAGAAACACAATGGGTTTATATGTTTGTGTATATATATATAAATAGATTGATATCTCTATATATATATATGGGTGTATAATTGTGTATATATAGTATGGGTACTAGTAAATGGGTTTTAAATTGTGTTTTATATTGTCTTTATGTATATATAACTATATATATGTATATTTATTATATGTTGTTGTTGTTGTTGTTGTTGTTCTCGCAACTGTTTTCGGGGTGGATGGCGGAAACATGTGGAAACCACCGGAGAGATCCAAGCTGGTTCCGACGAATCAAAAGGACACATGAATCAACAATGACGATAATGATTCCTCCTTAAGTTATGACAAGAGTCCGCCACATGACCAACGACCTTTCAATTGTTGATAACATTGGTGCATTCCTGGATGACCACGGTGCTGGTAAACTGTAGCATACTGATGCAAATTTGCTGCCAGGCGCTTTTGCATCAAGTGCAACACACACACACCAAATGCAAGCTAAACCAACGTACTTGGATCTTGCTCGCTTTCTCGTTCTTAGCTCTTCATTGACACCAAAGCTCTCTCGTTCTTAGCTCTTCATTGACGACACCAACTACACTTGTAACCTGACGGGCCGTGCATTCGGGCGTGATGTCAGCCTGATCAATCTATTTGTGCCTGTTTTTTCGACCCTGATGGCCCAATGTGAACTTACGTTCCAGTTCCCGATTTTGGCCAAAATGTGGTATGAGTTTCCATATATAGTTGTCATAGCCCACAATAGACCACTTCTGCCAACTTGCTGGGACGGACACCACACCCTCCCTGGGCTCTCCCCGCTCCGGGCCGCCATGAACATGGGTGCCTGGAATCGATGGCGATGGAAGACGGAAGACGGTTAAACCACAATGAATGGCGACGGAAGACGGGGTCTATCACATTTACAGTACCAGTAAGAGTGGATGATGAGCGAGGGTTGAGACGAAGGCCAAAAAACAATATCTCTAGAATTGTCATAATTGCTTACCAACTGTTACAGGCAGGTAATCGGACAAACCCCAAATAAAGTGCTATTGACTATTGACATTTTTGATAGCTGCCATACTTGTGGTGCCATCTACACGGGGATTGCTACTGTTTCAACAAATGCAAGGCGTAACTTGGCCCACCCAACCACCTTTGACAAGTGATTTGTTCTGAGATGTGCTGCGTCACCCAATCGAGAATTTATTCTGGGATTGTGTCAATTGTGTCCGACAAGTGTTCCGACATTTGTTCTGATAACATGTGTTCTGGCATAGATTCTGGCATCTCAGACCAAGCCGTAACGTCCAGCTCCCGCGCTGGACTCCGTGCAGTCTGCACCGGCAAAACTCTGGCAGATCACGGGAAGGGGGGCGGTGGCAATACTGACCTCAAATCTAGAGACCCTCGCCTGATAGGATTGAATTTCTCAATATAGGTCAGGTCGACATGCTGCTTCTGAAACCAGTCTTTCAAAACTCGGCCAACTCAGGGTTGTTTGACCCAAAAATCACTCCCAGAAGTCATGGGTTCGTCCCATCCAGGGAGCCAAACACCTGTGACCGCCGCAAGGCCATTGATGGTGACCGGCAAATCCCCAGGTAGCATCGCATGCCAAAGGGCATCCCCTTTGGCATCCCTATAGAGCGATTTCAGGACCATCCAAGAAAAAAGAAGCGCATGCATGAGTCCATGAGCTATACTCCTCCTCATTTCCTCATGAAATCCCGGACGCAAACGGACCCCACACTCAACCCCTCCTCGAAGCTCATGAAATCCCGGACACAAACGGACCCCACCATAAACATACCGCGACCCATGTGACCCAGGTCTCACCCCTTGTGACCCAGGTCTCACCTCACGGTCTTGCAATGTCAAAAGTTCGCATTTGCCACAAAGCATCGGCAGGGATCGCCGATTGGAGGTCGCAGTCCATGTGGAATGGCCACAAACGTTTGGGAAGACCATGCACTCTGAATACCAAACAGGGAATGAACTCCGCTTCCATGTGGGTGTGTATGTGTCCATGTGTATTAAAATAGGGAGACCTCCGAGTTCGACTCACTGGAAGATGGAAAATAGATCAAAATCCATGGGTTCGGGGTCCCCCTATTCAACTACACACCCATGTAAGTTCCAGAAAAAACAACAGTACTCCCACACCCATGTGAGTTCTACTCCCACGCCGCCACGGCGCCCGATGGTCACCCGAATGGAGATGGCTGCGGATGGGCGGAGCGTCGCGTATGTCCGCGCCTGTGTAGCTGCTGATGTCGTCGTGGAGTCGGATGGACTCCGCTTCAGTGGCTTGCACCTCAAGTCATCCGAGTCGGGTGATCATCGGTCACGCGTGTGTTGGGTCGGTCTGATCCTCTTCTACACTCCATGGGACGCATATATCCAATTTCCCAACATGATGTTCGTTGTTGCTTCGTTGTTGCTGCGATTGACGTCGGCCACTCCTTGGGGTGCTTCGATTCTTGGGCCAGTGGCTTCTGTTCCATACCATGGAATTTCTGGGGATTGGGCAAGAACTTCATCATTAGGGATCCTTGTCAATCCAGCCCGTTCCACTGGAGTCTCAGCTGATGCATTGCTATCCGCACAAAAACAAAGCCTAGAGTTTGCATGAAATTGCTGGGTGCTCAACTGTGCTCAACCCTCTGCTGAAGATAGCAGCTCAATGGTACGGATGACTGGCAAAGTAATCATTTAGCCTTGGCAATTGTCCATCTACCTGCCCTGCTTTCTCCTGGATGAGCAGCTGGCAGGCTGCGAATTTCTGCAATGCGTGCAATGCGGGAAGCTAGGATGTCAACTTAGCTGCCAACTCTGAACCATAGTGGCTGATGTTTAAAGAAACGAAGTCAGCCCCCACCCTGGACCCTCCCAAATCCCGCGAATATAGCCAACACAATTCACACACCCTTCTTCCTCAAAGACTCATGAGATCTCATGAAGCGCAAAACAATCACAACATATCACAACTCCCCGATGAGCTCAAAGGGTACTGATGAATCAAGCCCGCCTGCATATGAAGAGTAAGAGGTGTTCAAAGACCTCGACTTTCGGCCTCGAACGGTCCATGGCGACCTTCTGCGCCACCCACCCACGCTCCGCCCCTAGGGGCCCGGGGCGAAGGGGCCATGTGCAAAGGCAATGGCTTGGCGGATCGCACCTGGTTTCGCTCGCGGAGGAGCGGCACCGCGTGGGGGAGGAAACGGGAATCATGTGGCCGAGGGAACGCATGTAAGAAGTATATGGTATTTGCTGGACACCAACTCAAGTCTATACTAAAGTTACTAAAGTTGGCCTTTGAACATGAACCAACAAAAAGCTGGATTCGCACGACGCGTGACACTGGTTCACCGAAGTTAGCTTGCGCGAACTGGTGAAACTGGATGAGCGCGGCAAAGACATACACTCCCTGAAGTGATGGAAGTGGAAAATGGCCCCCTCTACAAACAGGTACGGTTGTAAAAAAAAAAAACCAGTGCATGATTCTTCCATATTGTTTCAATCAGTGTGCAGGTTGCAAGGTCAGCGTAACACGTATGCAGAAACAACCACTTAAGCGCACTTCAGCTAGAAACTCCACCAAACCTCCCACGGCTTGGTGGGGAAGCTTCCAATTTCCAAAGGGTGTCCGCTGGTGGCCGCTGGTCTGCGGCATCCGATTGTGATGACTTGCGCGGGTCATCTGGGAAACGATTTTCATATGCGTGAAAGCGTGTCTGGTTTCTAAGGCTTCACTTCAAAAAAGTGGACGGTTGCCGTGAGTCAAATTCCATGTTTCGAAAACGAGGAAAACATCAAACCCAAGGGGGCGATCAAATATCATCAATACCAAATATATCATATGTTGCCTGGCTTCGCATAACTGACAGCTGCCGGTTACACATTTTAGGGTTCAGGCTCTGGGTTTAGAAATTTTTGTTGAGCAAGCGAAACCCTGATCACTTATGTAACTTCTTTACTTCTGAAGGTTTCCCTCAACCCTACACGTAATGTACTTTACTTGGGCCGGGCCTAGGGTTATACAAGGCCAGTTTACTGTAGATAAATTTTGCAAACGGACATGTTTTGCTCTTTATTCGGAAAGGATTGAGGGTTTAAGGGGTTATGGATGTTTATATGGGTTTAGGAGGCAATTTCAGTAGCGAAGGTGGGCTACAGTCCCTGATCCCTGAATCTATAATTCAGTTTCGAAGCTTTGAAGAATTATATAGATATTGAAAACTTCACCAAACTCAAGAGTTCAGTTTGGATAATTCTCCAAGCTCAAGGGGGTTCGCAAATTTCCCCCACGAAGGCCCGAGTTTGGAGAAGTCTCCAAACTCAGGAGTTGAGTTTGGAGATTTCTCCAAATTAGTGACTTAGAATAGTTCTCCAAACTCAAGGCCCGAGTTTAGAGCAATCTCCAAACTCAAGGGTTGACTCTTGGAGAAATCTCCAAACTCCACCAAAAAAAGTTGACACGCATATTGACTCTGAGTTTGGAGAGAGTTTGGTTCTTTCTCCAAACTCAAAATAAAATATGCGTGATCAGGTAGTTTTTCAACTTTTTGTACCCTCGATCACGCATATATTTTCACAAAAACAGCTTGATCACGCATATTTTCTGTTGAGTTTGGAGAAAGAACCAAACTCTCTCCAAACTCACTCCAAGCTCAGAGTCAATATGCGTGTCAACCTTTTTTGGTGGAGTTTCTGGATTTATCCAGGGTCAACCATTGAGTTTGGAGAATTCTCCGAAGTCAGTTGAGTTTGGAGAAATCTCCAAACTCAACCCCTGAGCCTGAGTTTGGAGAAACCTGAGTTTGGAGATTTCTCCAAACTCGGGCCTTGAGTTTGGAGAATTCTCCGAAGTCACCTGAGCTTGGAGAAATCTCCAAACTCAACCCCTGAGTTTGGAGATTTCTCCGAACTCGGGCCTTGAGTTTGGAGAATTCTCCCAAGTCACTGAGTTTGGAGAAGTCTCCAAACTCAACCCCTGAGTTTGGAGATTTCTCCAGACTCGGGCCTTTGTCAGCTGAGTTTGGAGAGTCTCCAAATTCAGGCCTTGAGTTTGGAGAATTCTCCCAAGTCATCCAACAAGGAACACTAAAATGATTCAAATTATCATGTAAATCATGAAAATCCATTTGATTTGGAAATCCTTTAATGTCGCTGTGCTGTTGCTCGGCATAGCCTATATATATACACACAGCTGATTGAGAAAGTCGGACGGTGGACATTTGACATGTTAGTCGGTCAAAACACCTGATCAGCTCCCCAACTACTTGATCACGCATATTGCTTGGAGACAGCACACCCGTGCAAGTTATCATCCGATTGGGTCCAAAAACGGTCTCGAGAAAAAGGGTGTTTCCGTGAGGCAAACTTCAGCGGATGCTTGTCCAAGCTCCAAGGCATTTGGAAAAGGAGCGCATTTGGAAATGGACCCCATTCATCCTCCAGTTCTAAGAAAACACGAAAACACAGTGCTTTGCCTGCCAGTTAGCTCATAAGCTGCAAGATGCTGCAAGCTGCACATCGGAATGCCCCTGCCACAACTTCGGTGCAAACGCTTCCAACACTTCAGCCACGGGAACCCTGAACCGGTGGCTTCTCCCAGAATCAGAACCCACGCCTCCCGAAACGTGTCGGACTCGTGACAGCCAACGGTCGCTGGGCTTTCCGGGCTCATCGTGACACCTTTCCTCTCCGCTAAGTCGCGCAAGGCCACCTCGCGACGAGTCCCCCCGCGGGACGGAGTCCAACGGTACTCAGATGTTTCTTTTTTGAGGTACCGGTGGAAAGAACGGCGTGTGGCAACTGAGACACATGGAAGATAAATGCGAAAAACACTTGGCAAAAGTTTCATTTAAAGAACATCAAACGATCTACAACAACTGGCAAGAAGCTAAATACACAAACAAATTCAAAAGCAAACGCTGAGCTGAGCCTCGAAATCTTCGAACTTGAGACGTCTTTGCATCTTTGGCAAGACCTGCTATGCTGCTTTTGAGGGTATGTACATGTGCACCAGCAACCTCCTAAATTGCAAGATATTTACAAAATGTTGAACATGCTTATATATGTTGTGTTTGATTTCATCACCAACCATTGAACAACTTACTTAATCCAAGCACTTTCTGTAGGAACTCTGCTGAATCGAGGACGTATGGACCTCGTGACCTGTCGCTGGAGTCCGGTCAGGAGTCGGTGGCGCGCGCTGAAAACGCGGGAAACATGGGCTGACTGAGTTCTGCACACGTGACATGGGCTGACATGGAATGCTTTCCCTGCAGTCTCCATTAATTATTTACTGTATTTTATGATCCGTGTTTATCGATTTAGCCTGATTCAGTGTGAACATGTGTGAACACATATAAAAGAGAGAGAGAGAGAGAGAGTGAGATTTAGGAAGCTGCGCCAATCATCCCTCAATCAACCATGAACTGACGGTGACTTGTGCCATTCAGCAGCAATATTGAGGTGCTCCGTAGCTTGCGCAAAACATTCCACCTCTACCTCCTCAAACCCCTTTTTGTCGCCGCCTTGGTGAAAAGCAAATCGGCATCGAGCGCGGTAAACCTGGCGATCGCGAGCGGAGAGCTTCACCATCCGGCTGCCCAACATTGCTATTGACTTGATGGTTTCTCATGCATGCGTAGGACATGTTCTTCCAATAGACCTCCCTGAGAACACCATGCCGCCTGCTTCTTTTAGGGAACCTGCTCATGCCCAGTAAGTGGACCCCCTTGGTGTGGAATCCTACCATTCATGAGTCAATGACTGAGGAGTTGCCATTGGTGTCCAACTTACTGCCCGGTAAGCTAATTCAACAGTGTTTCGAAAACCACGTAGCGCAGGGCAGCATGACACCATGACGGTTTCCACTGCCTGGTTCTTCAGTTCCTTTTCCAATGAATCCCTTGAAGCTTTGGTCTCTGAGTTCGTCCAGTTCATGTCACTGAACCGGGACGAGTCGGGATCGCCCAAAGGCGCGATGCCGGGATCCGCGTCTCGCCCCAACGCCGGTCGCGACGGACTCGCCCGTTCGCCTTCGGTTCAGCAAATGGCAATCACGGCCTGAGATCTGTTTGTTGCTCACGTCTCGCTGCGCAGTCGGGGCCGCTCGCGAGAAGCGGCTCGGTTTCCCTCGCAGTACTTCGTTCCGCACTGCAGTCTTTGCCTGCTAAAACCTGGGGAGGCCGAGATCTTGGGCAACATGTCAGAAGTTTCATGAAACCTCCAGCCCATACACCCAGCCTTGGACCACCTCAGAGTTCCACAACCTCAAAATAACAAAACAATAATTAGGGGTGGGTACCCCCCCCATAGGTGAAAATTATTCCTAGGCTGACAAAGTGTTTCGATACAAGAAATGATGGGAGAGTGTCTCCACCTGTCAAAAACTTTCACAAGGATGGGAGTATTCCAGCCTGTGTTCCAGCATCTCTTGGGGGGGAGACGGGGTAAACAAATAGATTGCACATCCCTCCCACCAAAATGTTCGGATCGAACAAAAACCGAAATCCTGTTCCCTGTTCTGCTCGAGTTTCGGCGGCTGTTCTCATAGTCTCTTACTCATACGGATGGCTAAAGATGGACTCTTCCAGATCTCGCCCATCCTTCATCCCCCATGTCGCGTCCAAGCATCACAAGCGAAGGAAATCGCGGTTGCTCATGTCCGGCTTGCCCTGAGTGAGCGGGAATCGAGAGGACCCCGAAACACCACCGCCCCAGGATCCTGCGCGTCCCCTCCCCTATAGCCCTGAGACTCCGTGCCCAGCAGAAGGAGACAAAGCTGTCCATAAGCAACCTGGAGAACACTTGAGTGTTTGATCATGTTCCTAAGGTGGTGAATAACATCATGAAATAATGAAAATTGTAATATGAAGATGGGGAAACCATGCAGGTTTGCACTTTTACCAATCAACAGGTAACATGACAAGACTTGCTGCTTATACTTTTCCCCATGCCCTTTCACAAAACACGATCTTTGCAAGATCTTCACTTGACATGAAAAACAGCTGGGCAGACCTTTGACCAGCTTGTTAACCTGCAGCAATCCTTCTTTCTGATGCCAGCGGCCCAAGGTTGTTCCCCAAAGATCCAAAGAAGTGAATCTCAGCAAAACAGAATCTCCTCAATCTATGAATGGGTCAACACCAGGAGCCGAACCACCTAGCTTGACCCACAACCATCTGGGTGCACTAGCTCAGATTCTGCCGCATCTGCCACCCCATCCGTACCTGCAGCGAATGCTGGGTCGTTCGCTTTGCGCATCGCGGTCACTGCATCTTGCGAGCCACGGAGTGTGTCGTCGGACGGGAACATCGAGAACCGAAGAACAAACAAATCAAACAAAGCAATCTCAAAGAAAAGAAGCACACACCCACCATGACATTGGTGTTCGGTGCGTTTCTGCAATAAAGGTCACCAGGCACTCCGTAACAACCAACGTCAATGTGTTTTCCCTCCAACTAGGATCTTTAGGGCACCTGAAACTCTCTTAAGACGCCGCATGACCACCACACATCTCACCAAGAAAGGATCTGCTCTCGAAGCAAGAAATACAAAGCCCGAAACATCCCGAAACTAAAGCTACAGCTGGGTGTCCGGCTGTGCCGCTTGAGGCAGCTTCCATTGTCAAAGGGGTAGAACCAGCCCTGAGCGATTCCGAGGAACGCTTGCAGGAAAATCGTGCGAATGTACGTTTTGTTGGTGATGTGCCCCAGGCTTAAGGCTTGCGCTGTTGAATTAGGTGCCTGCCGCTGGCTGCTGACAGTTGCTTCATGCAGTTCCTTGACCGACACCAAAATGTTTGAGGAACTGACGCCAAGCAATGGGCAACGGCAGCTAGGAGTCCAACGCCGCTACGCCCTACCCATGCGAAACCTAGACCATCCATGGGACTGGAGTATGTGCCGCCCCATTGACCCCATACATCAACCACCCCAACTGATGGGTAAATAGGCCACTCCGATGGATGGTCTGGCAAAGGAACTTTGGATGAGTCCCCAGGCCCGTTGATGTGCAGGCTCCGAAGCGCTTCGGCCATTCATGTGTGACCTGGCCCAGACCGGGGCTGGTGTAGAGACATGGGACAGAGTCAAACTGTGGGGTCTAACCTTTCAAGCTGGATAGCGATTTTCGATTCAGTGTATATTACTATAGACTATAGTAATGTTTTGGTTCAGGGAGGCAGCCAGTTACTTCAACTGACAACTGCCATGCAAGCATGAGAGATGTTCCGGAACGCGGCTGCAATGAATGGTATAGGTTTCGGTACATTGGGGCCGATAGCGATCGCATGGTTGGATTTCACCCATGGATCGCAGTGAATTGGCCCTTCCCAAAATGAGCATACATCTGAAGATATCTGAAGGGTTTTACCACGTTTTCAGCCGTTCAGCCGAAAGAACCGATGGAGGACGTACCTGTCATCCTTGGTCTCAAGACGGCGGGAGGACTCGGACAGCTGCCTGCGGAGGACCACAGAAGCCAACCCCATATACTCCATGGAACTGCCATAGGACTGCCGATCGATTGACCCCCCCCCCATCCGTCCTCAACTTCCCTGGACCGCCAGGCCGCCGGAAGATCTCCTGCCTCAGCCGTATCCGGCCCTCGTCAGCATCCCTGGGGTTCGGAGCGACGGGAGCGACGGGAGCGACGGAGGACCCGGGCCCCGAGCTCTTCGGACACACGTTTGGACCGGCGAATCAATTGCCTGATACGGGCAGAAAGGACAGCGGGGACTTTTTAGACATCTTACCTTGCCTTCGGAATGGCAACGAACATCGGCAACTGCCTAGATTTCCAAATATGAGACTTGCTCCATCTTGCATGAGCGCATGCGTTGCTTAGACCGCCGTTGAGCTCGGCTTGCTCTTCCGTGGTGCCAAAGGTTTCAGATTTTGATGCCCGAAGGTATGAAAAAGCGGAGGAAAGCCGGCCAGCTGCGGCTTAGCAAACGCCTTCTCGGCTTGGCTGCGGCCTTTGAGTGCATGCTCGGTTGTGGAGTTTTAAAATTAATTATGGAAGTGAAAAAAACTAGGGAATCTCTTCTTCCTCTTCTCTACACACAGGTGGTTGTTCATGTTCATGTTCATTTTGGAGTCGAAGCAAAAGTTTCCAGAGGCAGGCCAGGGACGGGCAAGGTAACGCAGTTGGCGTGTTGGAATTGGCACCTCCCATTCTGGGCCAAGCACCTCAGCACCTCCCATTCTGGGCCACCCGACGCAGGTCCATCGGAAATGCCTTCCGTGAAGGTTTTGTTTTTTTCATGTGTTTTTTCCCTTTCTTCCAAAGCATGGCTGAGCACCGAACACTTAAGCTGGTGGTGGCTAGTCCGTGGGTTCATGTGGGTTCAATCGTTCATAATGTTCATAATCATTCCAAGTTCAAGGTTGAACATAATATATAACTGATATCTGAAACTACCACCCAGTAAATCAAATACCATCAAATACCTGTGGGGTCATACGCGTCGACTCCTTCCTACACAGGGTGTGGCAGCCCGGACGTCTTGGAACTCCTGGACTTCTGGTGTAACAGGGCGACAAGGCCGGAGCAGAAAAGAGTCGACTTCAAGAGATCTTCACCTATCCTGTGTGTATGTGTTCGTGATAGTGGGCTCCAAATGGGGCGTCGGTCTGTTTTCCTCAAGTCGGTGGTTTTCTTCCCTATTCTTCAAGCCCTTTAATACGGTGTCGTCCTCGGTCACCAGCTCCAGGGACACCATCGGTGGTGCAGCGCTGCGCCCGCCTGTTGGCGCAATGGGTGGATGCCGCGCCCTGAGCATTCACGCAAGGTACAAGAAAACATAAATGGACCCCCAGGAAGGGCATGAAACAGCGGAGCAGCTTCATGGCTTCATGTGTGTTTTTTCACAAGAATCCCCCCAAACAAATCCAGGAATATGTAATCCAAAAGCAAAGGACATGTTCAACAAACATGTTGGTGTTACAATACCCTTTAAGTACAAGGGGGCAGGGTCAAAGATTCAAGCATGCTCCAGCACTTCCTGGAACCTTTCAACTAACTTCAGCCTGAGGAAAGCGACGTCCTCCTAAGTACAAACACTTGCCTCGAATCTCACACAGTTGGCTGGGGATTCATGTTTATTATGCTAAAATTGTACAACAAAAATTAGATAAACATAGATAAACTATAGATAGACTATATAAGAAGCTACTAGTAGCTCCTGGCATTACTACTAGTAGCAAGAAGCTACTAGGTTGGAGGCCATTAATCACATAGGTCTCCTTGAATGCATGCCCGGACGGTCTGGGGATGTCTAAGGTCATAGGCCTCCTTGGCCCCGGACCGCTCTTCCACCTCGGCCAAGCGCTTCACCTCCGCAGTACGACCAAGAGAATGGGCATGACGTCACACCAAAAACACCTGTCGCATGTTCCTTCTTGATCCAGGAATCACCGGATGTGTTCATTGAATGTCAACCATGGAGTGGGCCAGCCGGCGCGCCGGTACGGAACAGAACCAAGCCACCCAAAACGTGGCCACTATGCTTGCGCCCACCTTAGCGCAAACTTGCTCCAGCGGAAGCCGCTTCCGCGCCGCCAGCAGCCTGCGACCGCAGCCGTCTCGACATGGGGGTGGAACATGGTAATTAGGCGATCCAGCAACACCTAAGACACCCCCTGAAATCATGGTGGAAGTGGATAGGGAAAATGAAAGACTCGTTGGATGACCATGAAATTCCGAAGACCCAACAGGTGGTGAACTCCACTTTCATGATGATTTTTTCCAATAGTGTACTGTCGTAACTACGCCATGACGTTTTCCTGAACGAAGCACGGAGTCCTGCATGTGCAATGGCCAAGAAGCTGCTTCTGCCCCAACCTAATACCCAATGCCTTCTTGAGATGTGATCCAATTCCTCTCATAACACATATGTCATTTGGCACTTTCAACGGAACATCACAGCGTTCTGCATCTCCCTCCTCGTGCGTCCAGGCATGTCGAGGTGAAAAGGATGCTCGTTCTTGACTCCACTCCACTGGCTCTGTGTAGGTGATTTGCCATGACTGCTGGAGCCGCATAGAGCCCTTATTGTACTTCTAGGTCATACACTCCACGCACTCGTGACTAGGGTGTTGTGTTCCAAGCATGTTCTCAGGCTTTTGCGGAAGCAATGTTATAACTGTTTTAACTCATGAATGAGAACTCAAGGGCGATCATGGAAGTGGATAGCCCCTTGGAAGGCCATGCTCCTCGATCTACAAAGCTCGTTTTTTTTGCATGTTTGTTTGGGGGAGGGTGCCACAGAAGTGTCTGACAGCATCCTGCCTAAGCGCTGCCTGGAACTGTGGGGCTCCCAAGCGCCGGGAGCGGCTTTGGCCCCTCGCGAGGCAGTACCGGCAATGAGGAAAGAGAAAGAAAGACCAAACAAAGAGACACAGAGAGACAAAACAATCAAGGAGCAAGGACGCTACTTAGGGGCTCCTGGCATCGCTGCTAGGAACAAGAATTAAGCTACGAACAGGGCTCCTGGCCATACTACTAGTAACAAGAAGCCATTAGAAACAAGAATTCAATAGAATGAGAGAGAGAGAGAGTTGACGAGTCCCCATTGCTGGGCGCTTCAGTCCGAAACCAAAGACGCAGCTGGCATCAGCACGCTGCAGCCGTGCATTCAGCCATTCGATTGATCAAATCCACCCACTGGCCCGCTCTAGGGAGGCAGAGTTGATTCGGTTGAGTAATTCAAGCTCTGGCCCGCTCTGGCCCATCTATCTGTCTCCGTCTTTGGGGCGGAATAGCTGGGGGTTCTGGATGGGTTCCTGTGAACAAACTGTCATGACACCAGATAGTGGACCTCCGGGTGGCTTGGCACTGCCGCACCCACTGCGGCTGAGGAACGTCACCGAAGTGAAGAGCAGGTCGGCATCTGCGGTGGTGAACCTCGGAGGCCCCCAGATGCCGACCACCGCGGCATGGGAAACCAGCCTTCACCGTTCCAGTTCACTCTAAGGCAGCATGGCAGCTCCAAAAACCTCTAGACTCTAGACACCTTTGCCATCGACCCGCATTGGGGTCAATTAAGGGCTCTCAGGGTTCCGGGCTTGCTGTCCACATAGCCGGCCTCCCGGCAAAACTTGTCGAACTGCCGCGAGTCCATGCCTGGCGAACGGGGGGGGGGGCCAAATATACACTTCGACTTGACTAGTGACTAGAGCTCCATGTGCCAGATCTAGAGCTCCATGTGCCAGACTAGAGCTCCATGTGCCAGATCCTCAGAAGTAGAGCACCGGAATGCAAAACACTGGTAGATGAGCCAGGGATCATTGAGTGTGGAAGTCGTGGCAGGAAAAGTGGGCAATTCTATTGAAATCCCGACGGAACGTATCACAAGCAGTATCACAAGCATGGCATGTTTACTGCGCAAATCCCGAACTGTGGCAACATCTGCAACATCTGACAATCATGTTGCCGCCACGATTAGGGTGGCCAGGCACCACCAGGCACCAAACAAGATTAACACAACATGGTTTGCCACTGTTGGTGTTCCGGGGAAAGAACAACTCCAAAAAAAAGAGGCCTCCAGGTATACCTTGCACAGCTAGCATCACCTGACCACAAGCTAAGTAGCTTGCAGGATCGAACACCGTCAGGCGTCACCTTGGAACCGTCAAGAGGCCTCTGTTGAGTCCTCTTCCCCAACAGAGGCCTCAACAGAGGCCGCACATCAGTCAGGGCCTCAGTCGACTTCGTCCGTTCCAGTCCGCCTTCGCCCCGAGCGCTCACACAGAGCTTTCGGAAGGCCTCCTGTGAAAAGCGGAGCGGAGCGGTTGAATCTGGCTGGACTTCGATCAACGTGCTCCCCAAATAGATTGAAATGGTGCTGAAACATGTCATGTTGCCCAAGAATGCTTCTTAGACCGCCCGGTACCACGTCAGTCGGACTGGAAGCTGGAGAGCCACCGGAAACCAGTCGACGAATGGCGGAAACACGGCGGACTGTATAACGAGAAATGCGGAACAGCATGGTATCCAAACGCTCCATGTATGCCATATATGCCAGTCCCATGGAGTGTCTGGGGTATGTGTTGGGTATCTCGGTCTATCCCGAGCTTCCTGGGCCCAGTGGATGATCATAGTTATAAGATGTTATAAGTGCATCGCTACCAGTAACGAGGACCGCTACCAGTTATAGACATAAGTTCGTATAAGGCCTTTCTCTAAAAGAGTGATTTGCATATTGACCGACAGCTACAGGTGGTGACATGACATACCAAAAGGTATTGGGTACGAGTATGTCTCAAAGGAGAGGCAACAAAGTCAGGCTCAAAGCATGCGAAGCTTCAATTTGCATGTCTGCTTTACCAACACCCTTCCGGCTGGGCATCACGCAGCTGAGAAAACAGTGTGAGATCGATTTGTGCTTTTTCGGAAGTCTGTCAGGAAAAAACAGTGGGATCAGAAGCACTGACGTGGTGTGATGAGGAACATGATCTCCGCAACATACCTGGACACATCCACGATCATTCACGGTGATCATGATACTGATACTTGTACAATCTTGATCAATCTTGTACATTTGTATTGAAGGATTATTGAAGGATACTAGCATTGAAGGGTCTCACTGGCAACAGCCCCAGCCCAAGAAAACCCATCTGCTTGCTCTCCGCCGTGCACCTGCTGCGATCTGGGACTTTTCGCCAAAACATCAGAATCTGAAACCAATCAATAGCAGCCACACGTGGGACAAACATGACACCCACATGGCCAACACACATGGCCACACGATGCTCGGCCTGAAGGCCTGGGATGTCTTCTCCGGCCTGGCCGACCGATGCGGCAGGCGGGTGGCCTTTTTTGGGGTCAGCTGGGCAGGTGGCCTCCGAACCCTGAGGTAATGACACAAAACTAACTATATAATACTATATACCCCATACGCTCCATGGCACTGCCATAGGACTGCCGATCAGGCCAGGGGTGGTGGTGCCAGGGGGGTCAATTGATCGGCAGTCCTATGGCAGTCCCATGGTGTCGCCCCACTGGGGGGACCAACTCCGCGCAGCGCGGTGGGCTACTGTAGTCACGACGGCGGGAGCTACCTGCTATCATAGTCTTCTGTCCCCAGTTTGATGATGTTTGATGTCCATATATATAAATATATGAATGCCACTATGGATGCCCACAAGGAAATAGCATCTCGGATCATCTTGGATCTAGGCTGTTTACTTTGCGCCTTTTAGGCTTCTTGACGTCCTTATACGGACTCATCTCATTGCGCCACTTGCAACCACCATCTCACCAACCGCGGCCCCCCTTGAAGAAAGTGGTGTGGTTAAGTAAGGCGACGTTGTGCAGCCCACCAGAGCCAATGGCAGAAATCAACGAAAAAATATCCAGTACACTTACACTCTAACTCACTAACATGGAAGTTCATGGAAGTGGAAAAATGCTCCCCTGGAAGACCACTTGCTTCTTGAGAAAAGGGGTAACTCAGCCCCGGCCCCAACCCGCTTCCGGTTGCCCCACGGGCTCCCGGAAGGGGGTCGCCTCGCTCCAAGAAGGACTCCGAGTGGCACGCCTCGATGCGAGGCGAACGGCGTGGTATCAGCATGTCATCGCTTCAACATGAACCAATGTCACTTGATCCCACCATGGCCGAGAAAAGAAAACAACCACATGCACAGGCACAAGTTAGACACCCCTGATGAGGTGTTTTCCATCCAACAACCAGCTTTTCCATGGTGCTGGTAAACCTTGCCGTTTTTTTCTGCTGGGCCCGTCCGGTCGTGCACGAGCGTGCACGCTCTCCTTCGTGGGGCAGGTGATGGTGAGCGGGTCGAGTCACCCTGGCACGAATGCGTCGTTGCGTCACGTGCGCGTGGCGTGGCACCGCCGATGCGGTGCGACCAGGGCGAGCAACGACCCATCTGCGGACGGGTCGGTGTGCCACTGGACGTGGAGCTACTGGGAACATGGGGTGCGTGGAACGCGGTATTGGGCCGATGGGGACCGGGGCGAGGGGATCTCATTGGGAAAAAACATCAATCTGCCGAGCTGGTTGGGCTGCGAAAGAAAATAGGATAACCCAATCCAATTCATGGAATCTCATGGGTGATGAACCTGAGATTGATTTGTGGCACATCTTTTGGCTCATCAAAATCAAATAACCAGGCGCCAGGCGCTAGGCTTCTTTGTATGGCACTGGCCACCAGGGAGCCAAGTGGGCAACCACCTGGTGGTTGACCACTGAAAGTGCTTTTCATTCCACTCCCTGGAACTGTCATGGAAGTAGATGCCATGCCCCTTGGACCATGAAATCCTCCACAAACAGGTGTTTGGAACACGAAATCAGGACGTGTAGTCAACCAGTCCACAGAGGTGGAACACATGTCATTTCGAGTGTAGTCGACTCTATAGGGTCCACAGAACACACTCAGAGAGGGTCTGGAATCGGGTGCGCGACCCCAAGACATCCGAAAAACCGGCGCCTTGTCTCCCACCATGCCCGGTCCACCTTGGAGGAGGTCCAAATGGGCAATTCATAAAGAGATATCAAAAGTCTATCAGAATCGAGTCCGCAAGTCCCGCTAGGAATCAAGAGTCTCTACATCATGAGTCCTGGGGATGTCAAACGGCGACCCTTGTTTTTTCGTGAAGCACGTGCCCGAGTTCACGAACCCATCAACGACGGCCACCTTCGGCTCGACCCCAAAAAGGTTTCTGGACTCCTTGACAACTCTCAGATCCACTCTTCCTCCCCAACAACTTGCCTGAAACTGGGCGGAGTTCACCTGTTTGGTCTCCAGATTTGGTCGCTCCTGTTCCATCTCAGAAAGTGGTTTCACCCCGAGTTCCACCAAACATCCACCTTCTCAGGAGCTTAGTTGGAGCCCTAGGGTGGCAATCTGAAATCGGTGGAACAGGTCCCTCGTCGCCCTGCTGTGCACTGTGAAGCCGAAGCTGCTGTGGCGCCGTGGTGGCCGGGGCTTGCAACTTCCCTGAGGTGAGATGTGAGTGCTGCCGCGGAGGAAAAGAAGTCACTTAGGAACAAAACGCTACGAACAGGGGCTCCTGGCCGTACTACTAGGAGCCTAGGAGCTGGAATTGTAGAAGTCACTTAGGAATCTCAAATTGAGGAGGGAAGGCTTTGACAAACAGCTACCAGGACTCTCCAACTCTCCTCGTGAAAAAAGCTTGTTGGGGCCTTAGCAGGACTCAATTGGTGACCTGTTGGAAGGGTGCTGCTATGGGTCGTGGATGCTCCATTGGTCCTTGTTCCAGAAGCTCAATAGGCTTCTGCAGAAGCTCAATCTGGGCCTCTTTGATCTGAAGGTTGCCATCCGAGCGGGCAGGCCTCAACAAAGGCCAGCAGGTTGAATCTTTGAGTGCTGCCGTATGTAAATGTACATAGGAAGTTCCATGATGTCAAACATACATACATGTACATGGAAACATCTACCAGGGGCCCTCAAAACCAGGAAAAAGCAAAGGTTTTCACATACAAAAACAATGTTTTTTTTGCTAGGGGAAACCATGGGATGTTTTTGATGGTTTGTGGGGCCACTGGAAATACTTATAATGCTCCTCAAAGGCCCGAAACGTCACCGATGCCGATTCCCCGGCCTCAAGGTCGGCATGGAGGCCCGCGCCTCTCTCTCTTTCTCTCTCTCTCTCTCTGCATGGCTCCCTCCCTGCTGCCTCACTGACAGAGTGACTAGACACCAACAAAACAAACGAAACTGTCTTGATCTGTCTTGTTCTTTAAATGTTCACGCCAAGGTGGCTAGCCAAATCTGTGACTCTCGATACCCATTACTCACTCAGCAAGCCAAACTTGCCCAAAAGAACACAAAAACGATTTGCAAAGCCTTCAAGGACCCCTGGGCTTTTCTGGAACAGCTAATGGCAGGGTCTCCTCCACAAAACTCACTAAAACTCCACGTACTCTTGCAGTTTGACCTCATCCCTCATCCTTCCTTTCAGTCATCTGACATCGTGGACCCACCTCACAAGCTTTGCCATCACCTGCGGCGTGGTTCGGAACCACCGACCCCCCAACCCCCCGGTGGTCCATCGCTCTGCAGGTGCCGAACGACCGGTGGAGCTGTTGGCGATACCGAAGCAAGAACCCCAAGCAAAACACCCTCATCAAAAGAACACGAGGTTTCTGGAAAAAGCACGGAGCTTTTTGTTTGGGGTTCAGGTCTCCGATATCTTCAGATAACATGTCCTGTTGCGACCCTGTCTGCTTGAAAACCATGGTGAGGGGACACGTTTGGCCATGTGGAGCCCATCATGTTCTATTCGGCCCCCGGTTCCACTTCGCACGGGCGTCGCCTTCCACACGGCGGCTGTGAAGTAAACAGGGCGCCAGGTCCTGGTAGCGGTGAATGTGAACTGCTGCCCAGAAAGCAATGCACTAGGTGTCGTGTCTCAATTGACGGTTTCAAGCCGCTAAGGTCTCATTCGGATTAGTATGTCTCTCTCTCTCTTGTGGGCATGACTCGTCCCGAAGTCGTGTCACAGAGACATGTATGGGTTGGTGATTAGTGATCCCACGGAAAGCTTGACCATAAAGTCCACTTGTGACACCACCAACGAGCATGTGATGGAGATTCCAAAGTGGCACAAGCATAAGAGGCATAGAGGAAATGATAGGACCTTGCTACAGGAGCAAAGGGCACCGCTACTAGGAGCAAGGACGCTACTAATAGCATCAAACCTCCCCTAAAAATCCACCCCAGGGCTGTTATTCCATGTTATTCATCATTGTGTGACTCGTTGCTTTAAGACTTTGACTTACTAGACATCTGGAGACTGGTCGACCCACATCTGGAGGCTGACGAAAGGCCGACCCAGAAACACACCATCGATGATGACCCCTCCAACCATCATGCAAGTGGACCATAGCCCCTTGGAAGACCTTTGAGGAGGCTGTAGTGCTTGTTCTTTGATGCTCTTTGGAGCCACCCTCAGGGTCCGGAAGAATGCACTTGAGACGCCACGTTCTTTCCGGATTGACTCCCGCCACCCCCTGAGCCCCCTGAGCCCCCCCGAGCCGGCAGTCGCCGCGCACGCCGGCTCTCGCCCGCCGTGCTGGGCGGGCAGTGGGTCCGCCCGGTGGAGAACACCGGGGCGGAGAAGACCCAAAGAACCCCCGGGACCGGAGCTGATCGGCCGAACGTCAGGTGCTGATGGATTGGTCTTCGCATCGTCTTTTGAATTCCGTGCCCGATTCTTTGGCGGTCTTTTGGTGGATTGTTGAAAGCAAAAAGGTGGATTGTATAGGTGGAGGTCCATACTTATTAGGCTGAAGGCTGAGATGGTGCGCCCTCGGAGATGCAAGAATCGCGCTTGGCAACCTGCTGGTTTGCGATGAACGGCCCATAAAATGATGTTGATTCGCCATTCTCATGATTGTCCACTCAGGGCGCCATGGGGCTTGCCATGGGGCTTGCCATGGGGTCACATCTATCCTTCATGGCTCAGCTACGAATGCTCCCAGCCAAAACCAAGACGACGCAGCTTTGCACAGCATCGGCCCAAGACGACGCAGCAGGAAGAACGCAGCGCGAAAATCCACCATCCAACCTCCACCATCTGTGTCTCTCCTACGGGTTGATACATGTGATACCTGTAGGAGATGTTTCTTGGAAAGGGACCGAATGGCCATGGATGAACGAAGCACTGCTGGGGAACATCTGCATCAACTCCAGACAACTGCTGCGAGAAGGCGTACAACCATGTACGGGGCCCCCCTTTGATCAAATCTGTTGACAAACTTAGACGACTTGCGAATCAAACATCATCATTCACAATCCAAGCATGCAAAGCCAATTGTGTCTTCCCAAGGTGCATTTAGGAGGCCCAACTTTGGACACAACCCCCAAAATGAATCAAATAATGGCTTTTGGAGGTCTTTGAGATTTCATGACATGAAGCAAGCCACCAACAAAAACTTGCAAACATCATCACACTTCTACGAAGCAACTACGCTATGGCAACAAATGAAGCAGTCCTTGGATGTCCTTGGATGGCGCACTAACCCCCTCTCCATCAACAAGCCCTAGCTCTTCTTCACACAAAACAACCTGTAGATGGACACCTGCCACCTGCACCACATCTACTTCCATACCTTTGTCATTGCCACTCTTCTGGCATCATTTTGCTCGACCCCAACCCCCTGGGCAAATCTATAAAAACACCCTAGCAATTACTAGGCCAAGCCGAGCAACGGCAGCTCCCATCGTCGCCTTTTTAAGAACTCCGCTTGCCATGAGAGCATCAGAGTCATCAACACGTGCATCTGTTGAATTGTGCTGTGAGTCCTGTTGGGAACACCCCAGTACTGCCAGGCTTGACCTGGCCTGTGCAAAGGGGCTGCCATGCAGCGCTTGGACCGAACAACTATCCAAAAGCCTCCGACCAAATGTGGTTTGTCTAAACTTGCCTTCGCCGTGATAGCTTTCTACCCAGAACGGTGGCTTTGAGACGTCACCTCTTTTACTGTATAGTTATATGTTGGGTCTATCCTATTACCTGTAACAGTGGATGATGATGGTTAATTAGATTGCAGGTCTTGCTAACAAATGATGACAATTGTTTACTGACTGTTACAGGTCATGGGACAGACCCTAAGGATAATGTTATATTCTGAACATTCACACAGCCGCAAGGAATTCGTCCGATCTCTCCGTGCGGAATAACATTGCCACTCAAAACATTTGAATATTCCATGAATTCAGGCACCTTTCGGGGCAACCTCTTGCTGCACAAAAACCGCTCATGAGACGACCAATGACGGGACTCCAATTGTCAGAATCCAAGCTGTGTGGCGAATGCGCCAGGGGCGAACTTGTTGGCTATGTTACTGTAAGTTCAGCTTTAGAACAACCTGATCCACTTGAGCATTCCGGACATCCGGTTCCACATGACGCTCCTGACATCTGTGGACATCTAGATGATTCCGCATCTTTGCAGGATTCTTAGGTTGGGTATTGGGACCCCACCCTCCTCTCATGCAAGGCTCTTTGTGTGCATTGCTTGTGTTTCCAAGCTAAGAAAAAGAACACACGCCAAATCGCTAGTACCAAGGGGATTGCCAAGGGGATCGCCATCATGAGCCGCACGTCCTCTTTCGACTACGAATCAGCAGCGAGGATCAAACGATTCTGTGCTAGCATGCTGCGGCTTCGAGGCATCCGCGCGGTCTGTCTCGGTCAACATCGATGGTTTGGTTTCGGTCTTGACCGTTTTGACCGGGGGGGTCACCTTTTTGTTTCCACCGCGGTAAACATTGTAAACATAATTTGTTTAACCCTTTTTTACCGGGGGGGGTCGCCCCTTTTTGCACCCTCCACACAGTAAAGATCTATATTATATTTTGTTCCTGGGGAGGTCGCCTTTTTTTTACCATCCGCGCAGATGGAGAACGGTAAAAACCGCACGACTGAACCCCCATGAATCCCCATGGACCAATACCAACTCTAAAAAACCCAAACTCAGTACTTCTCAACGCCGACACCAACTTCCAAGAGAGGTTAAGTGTCCTTATAGGACCCTACTGGGGTACCTATGGGACAGTCTATAGGGTTCTTCAACCTCTGTTGGTTCCACCCTTTTTCAGCAAACCAACTCAGTGGCCCACGCCGAGAGACGCGGTCCAAGCGAGAAGCGCGGGCGCTCTCGACTCATCGGGGTCTCATGAGGCTTAGCTCAGGACTCGATGGCGGCCTCCAAGCGACTCATTAAAGCGCGCTCCAGCGACCGCGAACGGCCGGCCTTGGTGGGAGCGTGGAGAGGCGGAGTGAAATGTGGGAGACATGGTTGGGGCTGGACTCAACGTTGAGACAAGAAGAAACACAACACCAAGCGAAACTTAAGGAAGTACACATCATAGAAATTGTGGGTGTTTCATGCACTGTTTGATCATCGGCTCGTATTTATTAGACATACGAGACGCACCAAACCAACCACTTTGTTTTTTTTTTCCAGTGAGTCTTTGTAGGTCTTTGGGCGGTCTCCATATTTTGATACACACCGTGTAGTATGATCAATGCCTTCCATGCCTGAGTGCATGACAACGATGCGCGCTTGTGACGCCCGCGTGTGCCTCAGTGGACGCCGGCCCCGGCGGTAAGCGGCGGGAGTGACTCGGTGACTCTCAGCATCCGGTCGAGACCGGAGAGAAACAAAGACATGGACAGCATGCAGCACATCATGACAGTATCTGGTCAAGCAGCACAGCTCAAGCTATCAGGACACCTGGCATTTTGGAATGGCCAGCCCGTGTGTGAGAATCCTCTGAGCAAAGAAAAGGACATCATGGACATCTGCCTTTGAGCGGAGGAGAGTCTTTCATTCAACACAAATACGGTTCCAAACCTGGACCAGTCCATTGGACGATTGGATGGTCCCGGTATCCGCTCGGATGGGGAATCCAAAGGCCAATGGAAGTTGCACCCTCCAAATGCTGAAGTGAAACATCCACTGTGTTTCGCCAGAAATCACAAAGCCAGGTTGGATGTGCATGAATTTGTTCCAAGCACTTTGACTGCAAAAGCTTGGCCGGAATTTGGATCAACTTCAAAAGCTGCTGGGCACCCCATGCTGGCGCAGGCGTTCGGACCTTGTGGCA